AGTAAGCCCCACTGCATAGACTGGAATAGGATTCCGTGTAGAACTGTTTAGGACCACTTTTGTAGCTATCTGGTGCACACATGTTCCAAAGAGTGGGAGGGGTTGGACTTTTTTATTTGCTTACTTGTTCGTGATACTTAACAATAGGTGTTGCTATTTTCAGTTTAAGTGACCATGAGGACTAGAAGCTTACTGTGAAAATATGAAATGCTATTGGCTTCTCTTATGTTCTTATCATTCCCTGGTTTCTGATTTTGTGCTTGGAATGAGCCAGATGTCACCCACTTCTGACATAGTTAAAATGTAGATATTTACTTTTAAGTAGCTGACGGGGGGGGGCTCATAGTCATAACAGAAATACTTGTTACAGTTTAGCTGTTTAGCTTAATGCAGAAAAATGTTCATGGTGACATATATGCTAACTGTATTAACAGCTGCTAAAAATTTGGTAAGAATCCAGTAGTTACTTGAAAGAGACTGAGTGTGTTTTACACAGCTGAGAAGAATCTTCTGAAATTATTTGGCCTTCACGGGTTGGCCTTTGCATTCCACTCAGGCATACATGCATGGGCATCTACCCCCCCCCTTTCCCCAAGCTGGAACAAGTCAGTGTTTTACAATAGGAAATACTCTGTTGGGTTGAACATTCTTGGAAAAATATATGAAGCAGAACATCCATGTGGAAATCAGAAAACCTGCTTTGCAGAAAATTTGCCAGATCCAACACCACGTGAAAATCCTGTGCCAACTGAGAGATTTTGGGTGTTGGCTTTTAGGGATATAGTCTAAAGAGGACTATAATTATGTTTTAAATCCTAGTATTATAGTGATGCTGGAGAAGATTCCAGTCAATTGTACCAAGCCAAAAATAGCTTTTATTTTATGCGTCCACTGTTCAAAAGTTCTGTTTCTGTCACTTAGCAAATATTTGTTTTGGTAAGAAAAAGTCAGTGAAGGGGAATCCCATTTAGTTGGGCCGGACTAATAATTTCAAGACCATGAAATGACAGGGCATAGCTGTGTGCGAGAGAAGACTGATGGTGCACCATGAGGAATGAATTAATTAAAGACTTCTCCTCAACCCAGAGTACCTACCTATATAGGAGACTGCCTGTTACAGCTCTGTATGAATTAGCATTACAGTTTTATATCCATTATCCATAACCTGGAATGCATTTATCATGTCAACATTTAAAACCCATTTGAAATATGTGTTAATTAATAATTGGTTCATAGGTAAAATTTTGGAATGGGATATCTTTAGTTACATGATAAATAATAAAAAGTATTATTTGTAGTGCCTTTATATGCCCTCATTACACAAATCGTATCATACTACAGTATTTGCAGAAGAAATTCTGCCAAGAAGATTAGAAACTACACAAATATCTTATGTTATTTTTTGCTTCCATTATACTGCCTGCTGATGGGAAATAAAGATTTCTCGTCAACATTAACATCAGCATATTAACATCTTCACCCTTAAAGTAACAAAATGTAGAACATTTAGAATCTTTAAAATCTCATTTTGTTCATAAGGGGTTTTGACCAAGCATAAACAAAAGATACTAAAAGACATGCAACATATCAAATACTATAGGATGACACTTGGGTTATTCTGGATCGAGGGTGGGTTCTGAGATGAATTCAAAGATTCCCAGGAACGAGTGCCAAAATGACAATAACTACGTAGGGTGCAGGGAATCTTTCCTAGATGGAATGTTTTGATTTTGAGTGTCCACATGATGTTGTGCTGATATGAGTTATGGGTCTCTTGGGGCTGTCCCCTTTAAACTGGATCAAACAAAATCCTCCTTTGATCTGTTTCAAAGGAGAAGCTGCGGGGTGCCTGCAGGTGGTGTGTTCATGCTGGCACTCCACCCATAGCCACAACTGGTGTGAAGGAGGAGGTGGAGCATAACTGTGGGCATGTGGGGGGAGGAGTGAGGCTTTGTGAGCATCCTAAGGTCTTTCACCAGTAGAACCACTCCCAATTTTATTTATTTATTTATTATTATTGAAAACGCTTATTAATCAATTTCTACCTTATGGAACTCAAGGCAGCTTATAATAGCAGTAAAAAAACAATGATTAAAAACACACAAAAGTCTACAATTTAAAATATCAATTAGGACTGCCCATAAATAAAAATTAAAAACCAAAAGGCTGCCATAATGTCAGCATTAGAGATGGTGTGTTTTTCTTTGGTTCTCAATGGGAGGGAAACTTAACTGACACCCAGCTTCGTGCCCTGCCTATGCCATGATGGAGCTTAAGATCCCAGCTAACTATGCAGTCAGTCACAGTTTTCTCACAGCAGTATATAAACCCTTGCCAGGATCCGTGCATCTCAGATTGTAGGGTGTACAGCATGGGGCTATATCTCTCTGGTCACATGTTGAGCATGCTTAGAAATTGGAACTTTGCAGGCTAGTACCTATCCAATGAAGTACCACTGTTCATGCCAAAAAGGAGGAGGAGAAGTAAAGCAAAAATTAGGGCAGGATATGGGATAACGTCATCACCTTTTTCTGTACATTCAGGAGCAGACCACAGGAAAAGCAGGTGGTGCAGATATTAATCTTAATCTCAGGAATCTGAAACACAAACGTTCCAGTACTGGGCACACCAAAGAAACCTGACAAAGCTGAAAACAGAAGGGTTTCCAGTTTTGGCATCTGCTATGGCGGTTGGTTTCTCCTGGACCTCTAGGAGACTCCCGCCTGCGCCTGTGGCTGGGAGGGGGTCCGATTGTCCGTGACCCCCCCTGGAGCCCTTGTGTTGGGCTCCCAGCCATGGAGCTTTTGAGAGCTCTTCTCCCGGTGAACTGGCCGGTAAAGGTGGGCTTCTCCTGCCCCGACGGTCCCACCATGGAGCGACCGCAATGGTACTAAGAGCGCACACCGGGATCAAGCGTCTGGTGGCCAAGCGATTCTGTTTTCAAGGCAACTGAATTCCTACAACAGCAGAAGGATCCAACAAAGGACGAAGGGCAAGACAAGGTTCCCAGCAAAGAAAGTGAAGAAGAGGAGGGCATTGCATCATCTGATGAGGACTCAGCCTCTGAACAAGGGGCGGCGGCCCCTAAAACTGGCTACAAACTGAGAAAGAAAGAAAAAGATTAAAAATGAGTTGTAGATGTTCCTATGAGTCTTGTTTTAACGGACTTTAAATGTTTCTCGATGATCTCTGTATAGCCACTTTTATTGTTGTCTTATTATAAGCATGAAGAAGAATGTACTCATATAACATAGTTTAGACTGATCAAATGTATTTTTAAGCTAACTGCAAGCATTATTGAAGACCACCACCTCTTGGGTTTTTAGGGGTTTTGCTTTACTTTCTCCCCTAGTTTGTAGTTTCCCTTCCCTTATTTCTTTGTAGTTTGTAGAAAATTGCATAAATAAAAAAATCACCTACGAGGGGCTAAAAAAAAAAGCTGCAAACAGAAGACCTACTATAGAGGAAATATTGTAATTTATGTAAGCTAAAATGCCCAACATGTCGTGCTCAAAGTAAGTGAAATGCATTTATTTATGCTTCTTTTAAGGGGGAGCCAGGGCCAACAGGCCCTTATGGACCTCCAGGAGTCCCTGGAACTGGCTATCCAGGACCTAAGGTAACGTACACGATCTACAGCAATGACATAGTTTCCTTTGCAATGGTGTTTATGTCACATATCTTGGGGTTACAAAACTGATACATATGGAACATTGGTTTTTGCATGCAGTTCTTTTAGATTATTCTTATTGTTTCTTTTAAAAAAACATAGAGAGAAATGCTGAAATAAACCATTCATTTAATTGCAAGAAATAGGCATTGTTGTTTAGGAAACAACCAACCACTCCCCTACACTGCAGCCATGATCAATGATGTATGCACATCATCTTTGTGCGTTGTAGAAGCACAAAGGGCAAAGGAAGAAAGGGAGAGTCCAGTGAACAACCATCTCAGCCCATGCATGGCTACAGCCTGGCCCAGACAGGAAACTAATATCAGATTTGTGTTAGTTAAAGTGGTGCCTTCTGAGGTGATGTTGATTCCCACAAGAGTTCATTGAGACACTGCAGTGAGAGAGACTAACTTGTTAGTTCCTGTGGTCAATCAGTGTAAATAATATATGTATCTGGCATGCACACGAAAGCATATACTCAGAATTAAACTCTGTTGGTCTTAAAGGTGCCACTGGACTCAAACTTTGTTCTGTTACTTCAGACCAATATGGCTACCCATCTGAATATATCTGGTATCAGTTCTTTAGAGTTCTATATCCTGAAATTTTGATTTTAAAAAGTGGCCAGAATTGAAAATCCCTAAATATTTTCTATATTGTGTGAAAACTAAAAGTTGTAGAACTCATTCATTTATGAGCTCATTAATCTCTCTATCTGTATGAAGGAGAAATGGAAGATCTGCGATTCTGTTACAAAGGCACATTGGCTAAGCCAAAGACTAGGCTAAACAATGAAATAAAACCGTAATATAAATCTTAAATATACGCAAGATTAAAATTTGTATCATTAGGTTGGAGCCAATGGTTTCCTTTCACTCTGAAGTATTTTCCTTCCACCATGGAGTATCTCCCATTGGAGGAAAATTCCTTACAGTGGTAGATTTCTCACTTTGTGTAAGGGAGCCATTGTATGCATTCCGTGATGAATACTCCAACCATTATGTTTAGTGGAATTTATTCTGATGCAGCTAAGCATACGATTACAGCCTAGAATATAATTCATATAACCTGTCCAAAAGTATATTGGTGTGATTTTAATGCTACCCTCATCCCTTTCCTTTGAATGATGAGGTGAAGGGTGTGATTCTACTGATTCCTTTCTGCTTCTAACTTAGTATTCATAACAACAATAAATGCTTCTTGTATATTTTTTGTAAGGGTGAGAGAGGTCAGGAAGGAAGAACTGGGCCACCAGGACCTACTGGAATTGGTGAGCCAGGCTTAGTGGTAAGTGAATTTGTCAAGTTCTGAAGAATATCTTACAGTGTAGCATTTTTAGGATGCTGCTGACTAAATGCAATGTTTGTTTGAATCTGTATTTGCTAAAAATTTAGAACTGGTATGTTAGACTGGAAGCTTTTAGCAGGAAATGTTCTTTAACTTAGAATGATGTTTGATATAGCTATTAACAGCAGCAAAAATACCCAAACAACCCAGAAATGGTAAAGTTTTCTTTTCCCTGCATTTTTACTCTTTATCAGGAAAGGCTGAAGGAATTGGGTATGTTTATCCTGGAGAGGAGACATTTGAGAGGTGATATGATAGCCATTGTCAAGTATTTGAGAGGCTGTCATATAGATAGGGTTGCCAGGTCCTACCTGGCAGCCGGTGGGGTGATCCTTGGCCCTCTCCGGGATTGCCCAGAAATTACACCATCACATCGCCAATGGCTCTATGTAGCTGATTTTACCATAGAGTTTTGCCTGAAAATTAGAGCATCATTGTGCGACATCAGCAATGTGATGACATCACTTCCAGGTGACATCCTTACGTCACCTTCGGGCCAGTTGGGGGCAGGATTTCCTCCTGCGGGCCAGCTGGCCAATGGGGGTGAAGCACCCCACAAAAGCGGGGGTTCCCCCACCCTGGCGGTTGTTTTCTATTGCCGCAGAAGGTTGAACCAGAACCAATGGGTTGAATATATCCTAGGATTAGATTATTGGCTGTGAAATCTAAATTAGCAGCTAATGTAAGATTGATCCTGCATATAACCCCTTGCCAGAAATGTGTGATTTTAGGGCAATTCCAAAACATGTGAATGAGGTTAGCTCCAGGCTTCCAGCAGTGCCAACAGGAATCACTCTCAGTGAGACCAACGTTATAAAATTTAGTAGGGTACCACTACACTCACAGGGGAGTTTTTTTGATGGATAAGCCTCAGTCATAAATCCACAGAGATAGATTTAATGTCTTTTAGTACAGTTTGCCATTGGGTCAGTTGAATCTGAGTACTCAGTTCTATGTTCCACTGGGAGCAGATATAATCCAAATAAAATTTGGTTTGGTGTCTTAGAAAATTATATATAAGGATAGGTTGCCTAGGAAGGGTTTCTAAGGATGGAAATGGGCAAAACAGTGGGACAGTTTCCAAGGCTGCAAAAGGTTCTGGTCCCAGAACAGAAGATAGACAATGTTTTAGTTGTATATATTTCCAACTGGCCATGGATGGGAGATTAAATTCTGTGGACAAAATGTCAAATGGTTTAAAGTCATCCCCTGGTTGAATTAGCTGAGATAAGTGTACTAAACCCCTGGAGATCCATTGTCTCCTAAAAAACACCTTTATTCCTTATCCTGGTCCTAGAGTTTTTCCAGATCGTTAAACATGTGTGTGTGTAAGGGTCAAAAGCCAACTGAGTGCCAATCATATGCCAAGCTGACCTAGCAGCTTCAATTATAGGTGAATGAACTTTTAGATAGGTTAAATGGGTAGAGCCCAAAGCAGCCCACTTGCATAGAAGTTGAATTCTAGGTCTACCCAAGGGGCTCCAAATGAATTTCCAAAACAGGGAATCAATTCTTACAAAAAACTTCAGGGGAATACATATTGGGAACCCTCTCAGGATAATGTTCATATTAAGGGTGTTAATTTTACCCCAAATGCTCATTGTTAAGGAGGTCCATCTATTGAGATCTTGGGAAACCTGTTCCAGAATCCCATCCATATTTATTTGAACAAGGGAGTTCAGCTTCTCCCAGACTGATAATCAATGAAACAGGAATGATCAGAAATAACACCTAAACCAGCAGAACAATACAAATATAGATTGTTCACATTTAAACGAAAGGAAGATGCATCTCCCTTCAGTGTCTGATTTAGACATTCCATGTGAAGATCTTTGTGCAATAAAATTGCAGCGCCTTGAACCTTAGTGGAATTCCGAGAACGGTAAGCATCTCCTACCCATTTTTAACAAGCCTGTCTTGTTCTCCTTGAGCAGGTGTGTTTCCTGAAGCGTGGCAATACTAACACGTTGTTTATCAAGACTGCCTAGTATTTGTTTACACTTATTGGAGCTCCCAAGACCTTTAACATTCCAAGTTATGAATGTCAATTTAGGCATAGTTCAATATTAAAAGTGTTACGATAATAATAGTTTATGAATATCACTAAGTAAACAAATTCGCCATTAGCCCCAATTATAAATAATCTAGGATCAACCTGTTGCTGCTGAAGTTTGGGGAATGGGGGGAATAGATGAGGAAAGACACATGTAGATGAGGGAAAAAATGGCTGAAGACATCATGAGAGTGTTGGTGAGTCCCTTGTGGCCCTTTCTTATATGCCCAGGGCAATGCCAATTGATACTTGAGGTAAGGAAGGAGTGTTCCTCCAGGCTAGATTGGCCCAGGGATCCTGAAGATTTTTTGCTTTCATCTGGGCATAGAGCAGGGGTCACTGGGGGGGGGGTTGCTGAGAATTTCCTGCATTGTGCAGGGGGTTGAACTAGATGACCCATGGGGTCTAGGGTTGCCAAGTCTGGGTTGGAAAATACCTGGAGACTTTGGGGGTGGAGCCAGGAGAGGGCGTGGTTTGGGGAGGGGAGGGGCCTCAGCATAGTACAATGCCATAGAGTCCACCCTTCATAGCAGCCATTTTCTCCAGGGGAGCTGATTTCTGTCAGCTGGGGATCAGTTGTAAAAGCGGGAGATCCCCAGGCCCCACCTGGAGGTTGGCAACCCTAATGGGGTCCCTTCCAGCTCTATGTTTCTATGTTTATGTTTCGATAAAAATATGTAAGATTACCAAATTGAGATAAGCAACTGAAAATGCATTATATGTTTATCTCAACCTTCCTCCAGGGAACTCAGGGAACCGGGTTTTACTTTCTTCCATTTTATCCCCGAAACAACTCTGTGAGGGTAGATCTGAGGCTGAGATAGACTGCCCAGGGTCACATGCGGTACAATCCTCAGAACACTTTCCTGGGAGTAAGCCCCACTGAGAAGGATCATACCCTGTAAGGCCAAAGAAGTAACATGACAAGAAGTCCTTCTCATCTGCTTGAAATGACTGATTATTTTGTGGCCTTTGTTATTTTCATCTTATAATTATAACAGTGGGATTTCCTTATGCATTCAGTGTAGCGCCACCATTCTTCGAGTGCATACAGTCTCATCTCCAGTCAAGGATTGTGGGTGTGCAAGTAGGAGCTTGCCCACATTCTCTTCAGCATTGGGATATGCAATACACACAGACCACTGATGTGGTGTATTTCATGAGGTTGGAGAGATCAGGATATGCAATACACACAGACCACTGCTTATGTGGTGTATTTCATGAGGTTGGAGAGAATGTGAGCAGCTCCTCCTCTCTTTGTATGCTTCCTGTATGAATCAGAGCCCCACAGTGCGTTGGATCTCACTCTTGAAATATACTTTTCTGTTCCATATTCAGGGTCCCCGTGGTCCTCAGGGCGTGGCAGGTGAAAGGGGTCAACCAGGAGAAGGAATTCCAGGCCAAAAGGTAAAAAGCAAGCAAGCAAACAAAAAATGGGGTATCTGTTACCATTTTTAACCTCTTCAAATTTCTAGGTGTACATTTGGTTACTTGATATTTTCTTTCTGCAGACTTATCTTTGCTTTTGTGAAACACGTTAATTCTACTAATGTTTCTTCAGCTTAAAAAATATATATTTATTCATTTGTACCCCGCCTTTCTCCCAGTGGCCACCCAAAGCAGCTTAATTCGTTCTCCTCTCCTCCATTTTATCCTCACAACAACCCAGTGAGGTAGGTTAGGGTGAGTGTGTGTTGACTGGCCCAAGGTCACCCTGGGAGCTTCCATGGCACAAGCCACTCCAACACTCTTAACCACTACACCAGACTGGAGTGTGCATCAGAGTGGGTGGGGAAGCAGTCTGCCTTTCCTTTTCTGTCTCTAGTAACATGCTATTATTCCTCAGGGACCACCCATTTCTCTATTCAGCTCAACCATTCTATACATTTCTTTAGTTCACCTGTGTTGCTAATCATGGCTTGGAATTGTGGAAGAAGAACTGAGCTCACATGCTCCCTTCTTCCCCCCATGTGCTCTGGTACTTTTCCTTTTGAGGCAGCTATAGAGTGGGATTCCACAGTGGAGGGGATTTCCATTCACAGGGTGCAAGTTTCTTGTGCCTCCCCACTCCAAAATGTCCCCTGAAATGTTGTTCCTGGGGAACAGGGCACTCCCAGGAATGGCACCAGGGGGAGTTGAAGGTCTGCAGGAGGAGGGGGAATTGGTGAGAATCATGCTTTCCCCTCCACCCTTGAAACTTCTCCATGGAATCGAAATGAAAATCCATATCTGAACCAGCGTTCTATGTTTTCCACTAGTCTTCCAAACCAGAAGTTGAAAGCCATAGTCAGCCCATGGTTTGCAATTCTGGTTATGAGGTCAAGTGCAAAACAGTTCATCTATTTTTCAAATGTATTTTATGTCACTTATAACTAAGGTTGCCAACTTCAGGTCTGGAAATTCCTGGAGATTTGGGGTGGAACCTGAGAAGTGTGGGATTTGGAGAGAAAAGGGATCTCTGAAGTATGATACCATACAGCCCACCCTCCAAAGCAGACATTTTCTCCAGGAGAAATCATATCTGTAGCCCAGAGATCAGTTGTAATTCTGTGAGATCACTAGGCCCCACCTGGAGTTGGCAAGCCTACTCATTTCTTGAAAAAGGGCCTCAAGGTGGCTTACGATGGCATGTAACATCAAATTATGGTTTGTGTCAAAACAAAAAGGGAATTGCTCTGACCTGGATAGCCCAGGCAAGCCCGAACTCATCAGATCTTGGAAACTAAGCAGGGCTGGCCCTCGCTAGTATTTGGACGGGAGACCTCCAAGGAATACCAGGGCTGTGATGCAGAGGCAGGTGATGGCAAGCTACCTCTGAACATCCCTTGTCTCCAAGCCCCACTAGGGGTTGCCAGAAGTCAGAGTGATGTGATGGCAAAAAAAAAAAAAGATTTTAAAAAACAGAAAGGGAATTGAAATATACAAGGAGAAGAAGAGGAAAGAGGGAGCATATGAGCCCATAGCTCACCCAACATGAAACTATAATTTGTCGTTACATCTGATAAGAATAATTATGGTTGTTAGCATTAGGAATGCATGCTGAAGGCACAAATTGAAGAGGATGTGGCAAATTGAAGGGGATGTCGGCATGCAGAAGGTCCCAGGTTCAGTCTCCAGTATCTGCAATGGAAAGGATAAGGTAGCAGGTGATGTGAATGACTTCTGTCTAAGACCCTGAGTAGAAAATACTGACCCTGATGGACCAAAAGATCAGGCAGCTTCATGTGTCCAAATGGTAAAGAAAGTGGTAAAGAAACTAAATATTCAAATCTCTTTCTTCAAAACTGTTATATATCTATGAAATATATTATATAGGCTGAATCTGCATTTGTCTTTCCCTCTGGTGCCCCAGCCTTTTGACTCCATCTTTAAAAAAGCTGTCTACATTTGGTGTTGTTTTCACACCTCAAGAGTGCTAGCATACTTTTGCACATCCACACCTGTTTATTGTCCTTTCGGGGCGGCTCCACTGTCATTGCACCTCTCCACTGCTTTAAAAGAATCTTCTCCAAACAACATTCAAACAAGCATAGAGAAAGACGACGTCACAGCAGCATGAAACTAAGTTAAAAATGCAAATGCAGATTCTTGCTGGGTGTGTATAACTATTCCAAGATATACAAAAGAAAATAAAACCAGCAACTCTTAACTTTAAGAGACAGAGTTTGTGCAGCTCTGTGTCACATCTACAGGGCACGATCCACCATTGGAAGTGGCTTCCTTCTGTGACTTAACGTGCCAGCACCTCCAGCAGCATATCTCTCTTTAGTAGCTCCCTCTATACTTACACTTTCAAAGTAGACCTGCTTTATCAGAAACTTCATTTGACATGGGTTTATCTCTGAAGAACAAACCCATTTACAGTTCCACTTTGGGGAATCCTGATACTAAAGCAATGTAGTCATAGAATTTGTATGGACTCTTATTTCTCCATGACTGTCACCAGCTTCTGGAAACAAAGGATGTGAAAAACGTACTGAGTAACAAACATGATTTAAAGATAGCAGCAATGATTAATTATGACAATTAAAGCTAGTTGAGTGTCCTGTTCCCACATATGTCCTGTCCTGGTAGATATGTACCAGAAATATTCACAGCCTCCTGCTGTCTGAGATAGTTTACTTGTTTTTCCACTTCTGAAAAACAAAGGTTCTTCTCAGATATACAAATCTGCCACTCAGTGCACTCTAAATATTTTACTGCATCTTTTACTATGTTTGGACAGAAACCAAATTCCCAGAGATTAGGGCCATCTCCTTGAAGTATTGCACATTTTTAAAGCTCTTCTAACTTGTCATACCTTGTTAGGACCAAAGCAGATGTGATGTTTTTAAATGTTGGGTTGGGGTTCCACTGACCTGACTTTCATTCCCCTCAGTCAGGCAGCAACTGCTGGCAACTGATTTCCCAAGCCCCACAAAATTCTGATTCAGATTTCAGAATTACCATGGGATAGAAGGACAAGAAATTTCTGCTCCCCCCTCCCCCGTGCCATTTCCCTAACTTGAAACAGCCCCGGGAGGCATTATTTGCGCTGCTGGAGGGCTTCATGTATACTGTGAGGAACCCAGACCTAACATTAAAAATGTCTTGTCTAGTTTGACCCTTAGATGTTAAAGATGTAGACTTAGTCACGTGAACACAGGAAGCTGCCCTATAATCTCAGACCATTGGTCTATCAAGGTCAGTATTTCTGCTCTATCAGGAGCTCTCCAGCATCTCAGGTAGCAGTCTTTCACATCATCTGGCCCTTTTAACTGGTGATGCTGGGAATGAACATTGTGCCTCCTGTGTGCAAACCAGACACTCTTCACCTGAGCCACAGCTCCTCTTACACACTCTGCACAGAGCATTCCTGTGACCAGAGGGTACACAGGCTACCAGAGTTTGATATATTTTGGGAAGTTAAGAACATAAGAGAAACCAATGTTGGATCAGGCCAATGGCCCATCCAGTCCAACACTATCACACAGTGGCCAAAAATACCAGGTGCCATCAGGAGGTCCATCAATGGGGCCAGGACACTAGAAGCCCTCCCACTGTTGCCCCCCCAAGCACCAAGAATTACAGAGCATCACTTGCCCCAGACTGAAAGTTCCTATCTATATCTTGTGGCTAATAGCCACTGATGGACCTCTGCTCCATATGCTTATCTAATTCCCTCTTGAAGCCGTCCATGCTTGTAGCTGCCACTACCTCCTGTGGCAGTGAACTCCATGTGTTAATCACTATTTGGGTGAAGAAGTACTTCCTTTTATCTGTTCTAACCTGACTGCTCAGCAATAATTATTTATTATTTTCAGTCTCATGCCCTGACTGTGGTTAATTCAGCCAGCTTTTGTATTCACCCTGCTACAGCAGCCTAACATGCAAAAATGAAGCAGGTGAAGTTGTCCCTGGCTTGTTGCTTGTTCCTGGGGAATCAAGTGGCATGAAAATTCTGTTGCATCTGTTGAATTCCCGCAAGAGAGGTTGCTGCTAGAAGGACAGCTGCAGTCCTACCAAACACAACCCTGGAAGAGACAGAAGGGCAGCCTTAAAAATCCACAAAAGTTGTTGTTGTTGTTGTTGTTGTTCAGTCGCACAGTCGAGTCCGACTCTTCGCGACACCATGGACCAGCTCCCGCCAGGCCTTCTTGTCTTCCGCCGTCCTCAGAAGTTGGCTCAACTTCATGTTCGTTGCATCTGTGACACTGTCTAACCATCTCATCCTTTGCCGTCCCCGTCTTCTTTGACCTTCAATCTTTCCCAGCATCAGGGTCTTCTCCAGTGAGTGCTCCCTTCTCATTTGGTGGCCAAAGTATTTGAGCTTCAGTTTCATTATCTGGCCTTCCAGGGAACAGTCAGGGTTGATTTCTTTTAGGATTGACTGATTTGATCTTCTTGCAGTGCAAGGGACTCTCAAGAGTCTTCTCCAGCACCATAGTTCAAAAGAATCTATTCTTCGGCGCTCGGCCTTCTTTATAGTCCAACTCTCGCAGCCATACATGACTACTGGGAATACCATTGCTTTGACCACAAAAGTTAGCACTCCAAAAATGTGTTTACTGGCACACTTGTTAGGACACACCTATGTTAGTAACCGGATAGAAAATAGCTAACACTTTTATAAAGCTTTGATAGCTGGTTGTCTGGAGGCAATTTTTAGGAGAAAACCAGATACAATGAAGATCACTGTCTCTATCTGTAGAATGCAAAGGCTCTTGCAGCCCCCAGTTCCATTGGGGCAATGCTAGGAAAGGAGAGGGTTCTGCTCAATTTCAGTAACTGAAATTGGGATCCACACTTTGTTATTAGTATTTATCAGGGGGAAATATATGTTTTTAAAGAAGATCATTCTTTGTGGAATGGGGTTTCTATCTTCCTTCTTGTGTTGGCCTTCCTTGTTGTTGTTGTTCAGTCTCACAGTCGAGTCCGACTCTTCGCGACCCCATGGACCAGATCATGCCAGGCCTTCCTGTCTTCCGCTGTCCTCTGAAGTTTGCTCAATTTCATGTTCGTTGCATCTATGACTCTGTCTAACCATCTCATCCTTTGCCGTCCCTGTCTTCTTTGACCTTCAATCTTTCAATCAACCTTCCTACACCCTTCAAAATCCCACTCTTGGAGTTGGAAGACCCTTGGGAATGGTATGGAATCAGTACAGGGCTGCAGTTGGCAGTGGGAATCCATAGAAATCACAGACCACTAGTTGCACAAGTAGAGATGTTTTCTACCTGTGCAAGCAAGGGTTTGGAACCCAGTTTGGTTCACCCTGCAGTATAATGCCTATTTAAGAAAGTATTGTTTATATTTGTAAGTAATCTGTTGAGATCATCAGATGGTTTGTTTAAGAAGCATTAGGCTAAATATATGTGTATTACTGTGAGCTACTAAATGCCTGTTCATGGATTCCAGTTAGATTCATATGGATTCATTCCTAAGTCTTAATTCAATTTGAATTCCCAATATTTCCAGGGTGAAAAAGGTTCTGAAGGGCCAGCAGGACCAGTTGGACCACCAGGCCAGTTCATCAAAGGAGATAAGGTACAACACATAGAATAGAGTCTGCAAAGTGCTGAAGCAGCGACCTGGAAACCACCATGTGGAGAATGCTCCAAGGAACTGAGAAGACATTGTGGAATAAGGAATTCGGGGGAAACGGAATGGCCTAGATGTGTTGGGTTGGATCCCGCTAGCTCTTCAACTGCTGGAAAAGGGACAGGGATCCCCTCTGACCACCAGAAGGGCTATGTTGAAGATCATGGTGCTTTTGCATGAACAAAGCAAAGTGGGATGGGGGCTGTAGCAAGGAGGGGGAGTTAGGTGATATGGAATGAAAAAGCTGGCTGGCTGGAACCCATTGTCGTGAACAAATGTAAGTGCAATTTTTCTGCGTCCTGCCCTGATCTCATCATTTTTACAAATATTCTAAATTCCATGATCTTGTTCTCCCCCCGGAGAGTTTTCTTTTGAATTGCTGGTGAGCTAGTATGTACTCAAGAATATGGGAAAGACATTTTGAGTTTAAAAATAGTATGGTGACGATTACTTATATTTCCATTGAAACTCACAACATTTTACTAAAGAGAGCATTTTGCATGCAGGGTGAGCGAGGGATGGATGGACTGCAGGGCCCGATGGGACCAACTGGAACTGGTATCCAAGGAGTTCAGGTAAATGGACTTCGGGGCAAGTCAAAACACAGTGTGTTTGGATCAGTCCAATACCAAGTTTGGGCATGTTGTGCCTTTTTGTTTCTTTATGAATAACTAGGGTCATAAATTGTGGCCCTGTTATTTTTGTTGAGGACAACAACATTGCACAGTTTGCAAAAGCATGGCCAACAGAATGTATTGAGCCCCTTTGGAACTGGCCAGTCCTGATGCACTTCCATCTTTGGCTAATTTAAGTCAGTGCTGCTTTTTTACTCCCTGCATATTTGCAGCATGATTCATAATCTAATACTTGGATTTAAGCCAGCATGGTTTTATTAGAATCCAGATCCTTTGGGGATGACAATCAGGATGCAGTTATTTTAGAATTATTTTTCAAAAGACAGCCAGGCAAATTGACCTTACAGTGTTGGATTCAAAACATACTGTAGCCAAAGTTAATGGGTGTTTCTTTGGGGGAGGGGGAAACGGCATCCAAAGCACATTTATAAGATCGCTGACTTTAATGGAGGGTGTAATTGTGCTCAGAGAGACACCTGTTATCTATTCAGGTAGCACAACAGGTTATTCTTTTGCAGAAAGCACCATTTCTACACGAAATTTCACAATGAGCGTTTTAAATATCCAGTGTCAAAAATTATCTTGTTGTCTTCTGAAGTTCAAATATAACAAATATACAGTACTTTGCATAGATTTGGGTGAAGCAATAAAAATCTAGTTTTGTCCCATGATAGCAGTACTTTTTCCAATTTGGAGTATATCTCAATAGTTCTGCAGGTGTAAGTCAAGTTGGCCATGGAGCAGGAAGATAAGTTTTGTTTCTTTCCTTTGCTTGTATAAAATAGAGAATGAAGTTGAACATAACAGCAACTACCCTTTTAATCTGTGACAGACCTCCATTATTTTTAAAAATTCCCTGACTTTTATTGGTATGTATTTTGTAATTTGTTTATTTAAAGTGTTGTTTTGGCTCATTGTAACAGTACACATTTGCACTGCTTTCAATTATGGATTGTTTTCTTGTAGTTAAGAGTTTATGTGTGTGTGTATGTGTATGTGTATGTATGTATATATATATATAGTGCTTAATTTGCCACACACACTGGGATTCACAACACAACTTGAACTTGTGAACTGTTTTTTATCACTAATGCTCATTCTAGGTATCTCTTCTTGACTCTGTTGTCTGTAGTGTTTATATCAAACTAGTTTCAATAGAGGGGAGCAGTGTTTACCCCCAGACCAGTCATATACCAAGTGTGGGATTTTTTTTTAATGGAAATGGAAAAGGGGAGCTAAACTCTGCCTCCTCCCTCATCTTACCTCACTATATTCTGTCATTTGAAGCTGGACTGAAAGAAACATACTTCAAAGAATGGAGCATTATGAGGTAAAAGGGGAACTCCCCTCACATTTATGCTCACTTATGGATAAAAAATAGCTCCCCCAATTTCCTCATCAATTCAAATGGATTCCCCTGTCACATTTAATTGCACCCAAGGAAACAATAATTAACTTCATTTTTTTTCTCTTCAGGGAATTCAAGGTCCGAAAGGGGTGCCTGGGATAAAAGGTTCACGAGGCGTAGGCCTACCTGGACCAAAGGTACTATTTAAAGTAAATATGTACATTGCTACTGTGCTGATACGTTCATACTTAGAATTTAAGGCTCAATGTCTGTGCAACTTCAAGGGTGGGAGTGGTAATGATGGAAATTACGGTTTACTTTTTTATTTACTTCATTTATAACACACTTTCCTTCCCCATGGGGACTCCAAATAGCTTACAACATTCTCCCCTTCTCCATTTATCCTCACACAATAACCAGGGTGCACCCAGGTAAAAAAGAACAGAAAGTGTTTGTTTAGGAAGCTACAGTAGTGGATAGAGAGAAGTTTTAAGCTTCTAGCTCCCGTGCTGGCAGGAAGAGGAGAGTATGAAGAAGCAGGAAGCCAGCCTGAGAGTTACATTTGGGGGTCAAACAAGGAAACAGAATTTTGCAGATTAGAAAGAAGGCTATCATCCATAACTTGATCTAACTAGCTTTGCTCCCCCCTGTAGGAGCTGACTTTGTACACTTAACATTATTTAGTCCAGCAAGCCTCTCCCTCTACCAAATTTCTAGCAATGTGCCTGAAACTTTCTTCACAACCTAGGGAATAAAAGAGCAAGAATGGGTGTCAGTGGGAGAGAGAGAAAATGTGTAAGTTGAGAACAAAGTAAAACGGAATCATTTTTAAAATGTCTATTGAGGACACAGTAGATAAAATAGTTGCTCTCAGGAAAATTGAAGAAAGAATGTTCTATCCCACAGAACTAGGGTTGCCAGCCATGGTAGAGTGGGGAGATGGGGGGGGGGGGCCCTGCTGTCAGTGATGTCATGTCACTTCCAAAGAAAACCATAGAATTTCTAGAGACTCCTAGAAAGGCCTGATCTGACTTTCCCTCAGAAGTGATGTTATGCTGTTGGGCTGATAGCCATTTTTTTCTTTATTTTTCTGCTACTACCACTGAGAGCAGTGGCAGAAAATGGGAGCTGGGGTGGGGAAACCCCTGGCTCCAACTGGGAGCTTGGCAGCCCTATACAGGAATGTTACATTGATGTGACTTGAAAAACAAATTACAGGCTCTCATGAAGCTGTTCACACTCTCCAAAGGCTGATAACCGTCTGCTTGCAGAACAGGATTATTATATGAATAGCAAATCAATAGAAAAACTACTAGCTTTACAAATAAAAATATATGTTCTTTTAAGGGACAAGATGGTGCACCTGGACTAAAAGGAGACATAGGACTACCAGGAATTGGACTACCTGGACCTAAGGTGAGCCTCCCTCTTTTTTATTCTTATGTCTAGAATTTAGTTCTTGCCCTGGGAAAATGGAAACTTGGAGGAGGAAACAGGAGGTAGGCCAAGTGTTTGGTCACTTAACTCTGCCACACTCTGGGTTATTTTACGTCATTTATAGCCCCCTTTTCTCCACAATGGGGACTCACAGGGGTTTACAACATTCTCCCCTTTTCCATTTTATCCTCACAACAACCGTGTAAGATAGGTTTGGCTGCAAGTGTGTGACTGGCCCAAGGCCACTGAACAAGCTTTCATGGCAATGTGGGGAATCAAACCTGGGTTCCCTAGACCCTAGTCCAGCATGCTAATCATTACCCCACACTGGCTATCTGTTTTTCTATTTGGGTTGTTTCTTGGTGTTACTTTTTGCACTCTGGTACAAATACCAGGTCACCTGGGGCAGCATGGAGCTAAGAGCTCAGTACCATCTCAGCTGGGGCTGGCTCTCAGTATAGCTGAACACACCTGAATCAAAAGCCCCCCAAAATCAGCTTTGTTCAGGCTCAGCTATACTGATAAGGTATTCGGGAGGGAATTTTTTGTTCGGTTTTGCCAAACACCCCCCCCCAATCCGTAACTAAAGGATCTCAGTTGTAGGCACAGGACCTTAGTTCAGAAGTTCTATGGAGTGAAACCTTGTTTCTTAGATTTTACTTTCCTCAATATTTGTTCTTATAAATAAAAGTTTCTTGTTTTGATTAATCCTGTGGGCTGCATGTGTAAGGGAAAGAAGTACATAAGAACATAAGAGAAGCCAGTCCAACACCCTGTCACACAGTGGTCAAAAATACCAGGTGCCATCAGGAGGTCCATCAGTGGGGCCAGGACACTAGAAGCTCTCCCACTGTGCCCCCCCCCACAAACACACACACACAATTTAATGTCTCGGTCTGTACACGTATAAGATATGAATGAATGGAGGCAGTGAGTGATTGGAACAGTATTTGAGCCCCGACCCCAATAGCCTTGTGTGAGTGAGGGCTGGTTATTAAAGGGGGCTGGGCTACCCTGCCTGTGGATATCTCTGGGAGTGAGAGAGGGGACCTGAGGTGCAAGATGGTCATGACTCTCTGTAGCAGTAGAAAAGAGTCCAGTGGCACCTTAAAGACTAACAAAATTTGTGGTAGGATATAAGCTTTCGTGAGTCACTGCTCACTTCTTCAGATGACTCTCTGTAGATTTTAAAAGAAACAAGAAGAATGACTTCCTTACCTACTTATAACCCATAACCTGAACAAGAGAGGTTGTAGAGGGTGGTAGGCACTCTCTGTGTGAATGGACAAGGGGCATCACATATTTTAAGGTGGGGAAAATATTTTTTCAAGACAAATGAAACAGCCACTTCCCACCCTAAACCTACTAAGGAATATTTTATGCACCAGATTAATAGTAACCTTGTTTTGAACTTCTTTCAAAGGGAGATCTAGGAATACCAGGATTTCCAGGAGAAAATGGGAAACCAGGGTTAACTGGAGAAATTGGGAAAAAGGTAACACAGTTGTGTTTGTTACACCTATCCATATTCATCCTAAACAAAAGGCCCAGCTTCAGTCTACAGGGTACACTGCACTCCACATGGCCAACTGAAATACCTACTGATATAGGTATGGACACGCAGGCATTCTGTCTATCTGTCTGATTATAGGATAGAAGGAGATTCTGAGAGCACATGTTTCTCTCATGGACACCAGAGAGAGAACAGAAAGACAGGAAGGGAAGGAAGGAAGGAAAAAGGGACAGTGGAACAGACAAGAGGCAGGATACAGAAGAATCTCCCCAATTCCCCTCTGCTGCTCCTCTGGGATAGAGGCATACTTGCAGCAAAGCAGCCCCATAGCCAGGATTAATGTGCCTGGGACACTTGTCTCCCCATCTCCCCCCCCCAACATGGCGCCACTCATGCAGCATAATTTTACCATAGAGTTTGGGGCAAATCCTAGAGCATCACACTGGCACAGTGATGTCACTTCTGGATATTCACCAGAGGTGATGGCACAATGTCATTCCCCCCATCCCTGCCTCCCTGTTGTTTGCTGGTTGCCAAGCAATGCCTGGCAACCCTACTTCCAATGACCCACTCACATGTATAATGGGATGGGGTGCAATTTACAGAGCCAAAGGGATTCTCTGGCTTACAGTGGAACCTCATATCTATCCCTCCAGGTTCTTTTTCGCCCAGCCACCCATTGGGTAGGAGCCCAACTTTCTCCCAAACTTCCTTAGGGAGGCACTAAGGGGAAAAGCCAGAAGGAAGATAGGTTCGACTCCCCCTGCCTGTGTGGCCCTTTGACCTTTTTTAGCCCCAAACATCCACCACCTTTTTGCTTTGTACATGAATGGGGCAGACCTACATTTAAAGATGTGGATTTACCTCTCTTACATGATTTTAGGCTTTAAATGTAATTAAAGGGCCGCATAAATATCTGTTTGTACATATGAGGAAGATGATAGATGTGGCAGACTCCAGTGAATGCATTCAAAGTGAAATAGGAACCTGGACATCTGTCTGCATATTCTTAAGTTGGGGTGACACTGCTGGTGATGTAGTAGTGGTTGAAGAGCAAACAACATAAGTCTCAGCTGAACTCAAGGTGGTCATCATGACTCTTTCAAGATGATCTTGGTCCTGGAAAGAAATTGAGGATGGACAGCTTTAAGGAGGATGCCATCATTGTTTTACCATCATCGTTCCATCAACGCCCTATGATTCCCACATACTGCTACCGCTGGTGCGGGCACTATTGGAGAGAATGGGACGTGTTTAGGGGACGGCAGGGCAGTATGATTTATACTGCTGTGGTTGTCTAGCTATGTTACTGAGAACACCATCTGGGTCTCAAAATCTTAAAATCTTAACATCTGGAACTGTATAGAGGAGCACCGGAAATGTTTTATGATGTCTATTTATGGGTTTATTAATTGTCTATTGTAATTTAATGTTTTATACTGTTTTATTGTTATTACTTGCCATTGTGCCCTGTTAGCCGCCTTGAGCCTTCAGGGAGGGCGGGATAGAAATCTAAATAAATAAATAAATTAAGCATGATGTCTAAAAGTGCAATCTTAAGCAGAATTACACTCTTATAAGTCCATTGAAGTCAGTGGTCTTAGAAGGGTATAAGGGAGACTAGGACTGTACTGTAACCCTCCACTCACCCTCTAGTCCTCACAGTATTCATAGGTTTGCACTGTGATGATGTACATCTTAGGGGAGTCTATGTACCCATTTATTCTTATTGACTCTTCAGATATAGAACTCTGTGAATATTAATACTCTCATCGTATTTAATTTAGGGGGAACGAGGATTTCCTGGCCCAAGAGGCCCAGAAGGAATGCCTGGGAGAGGAGAAATGGGTCTGAAGGTATGCTTTAATATTATTTGGAGTGATGGTCAGGCCCGTAGCCTGCGTGGGACCCATGGGGCCTGCCCTCCGCTGGTTTTGCGGGCCCCCTCCCTCCCGATCCTCTGCTCCCCCTCCCCCGAGCTCCGGAGCTACAAGCATCGAGTCCTAGCAGCGGCAGCAACTTCGAGCACCAGAGGGAGTCTGTATAACTGGCCGAGAAGGGCAAGCGGGGCGAGGGGAAGAGAGCGAGGGGGAGAGAGAGAGACCCGGACGCACCACCTCGCCTCCAAGTGCTGGCCCTCCACCACCGGGAGCCACTGGGGCTGGAGCGACGGGGGGGGGAAAGGCTGGTCTCACTTTCGGCCAGAAACTCCCCCCCTAATCGCCAGCTTGGTACAACACCCCAAGCAGACCCAAGTCTTTCCCGAAGAACATCGAGGCCAACCTCTCCCAGTCCTTGGGGCTCCTGTGCTGCACGGAAGGGAAGACGAAGGGGTCCAACATCAGTTCCCAGGGCTGGCTTCTCCGCCTGGCAGGGTGAGGGGGTGAGGAGAGAGATCCAGGCGGAGATTGGGGCGAGGGAGACAGATCTAGTCGCCGAGGGGGGAGGAAGTCCTATCGTCGCGCCAAGCAGTCCTTAGGAGAGCCGGAAGCCTTCAGAACAGACCCCAATTGAGTTTGCAAAGCCTCGGCACCCCCCCTGTGGAGCACGGGTTTGGAAGTGCAGCACCGCCTCAGGTCTTCGGCTGGCGGAAGGCTGTGATCCTCCTTTCTCCTCCCGACCAGCCGCCCAAAGCCTGGAAGAGTGAGGACGGAGGCAGGGAGGGGGGCTCTCCTGCCTCGACCCCCTTAGATCCGTGGCCCCTGAAGCAACGCTCGAGGTCCTTCCCTCCCTTTCTTCCTTCCTCCTCTTCTCCTCTGCCAAACTGCCTTTTCCTCCTCTCTCAAGAGGGACTCTTCATCCTGCAAGCTACAGTCTTTCAGTTTACAAAGGGGGGGCAGGAGAGAAAGCTGCAATAAAAGTTTCGCAGGGCAGGGGGGCGAGGAGGCATCTCCCACCCCTCTTCCCAGCTGAATCGTTGCCCTCCTCCTCCTCCCCCTCCCCCTCCCCGTCAAGACACCATCCCAAAGAGATGGAGAGCAAGGAGAACAGCAATGGTGAGGAGGAAGGAGACCGGGGGAGGGAGGGAGGGAGGGAGGGAGGGAGATAGAGAGCTCTACATCAAAAGGGAGGAGGGCTGGAGACAGGGAGAAACTGCATCGAATCCCTTTCTGGTGCTGGTCCCAGTCCAGCGCAGCTACCAAGGGCAAAGTCCGCAGTCCCCACTCCTTTTGCGCACAGGGATTTCCCAGCCTGCAACCGCCTCTGCCTCTCTCTCTCTCACACACTCCCCACTTCCGGGTGATGTGTGTGCGGTGCGCGCGCAAAGCGCGCGCACACACACACTCCAGCCTTCCCACTTTCCCCAGGGCCTTCCCACTAGGAAGGCTTCAGCTACGGCCCTGGTGGTGGTTCCTAGCTTGAAGGAGGTCCGCTTAACCTCAACCAGAGCCAGAGCCTTTTCAGCCCTGGCACTGGCCTGGTGGAACACTCTCCCAAGAAAGATCTGGGCCCAGCAGGACTTACTGCAGTTTTGCAGGGCCTGTAAAACGGAGATGTTCCACAAGTTCTATGGTTGAGGTGGCGGAGTTCTATCAGTATTGGCCTCCCTGGGTGCGCTTCCATCTTATATGATTTTTACTCATCCACCCATCTCCTGTAACATTGGTTACCATCTGCTGTGCACATATGTGGAGGGGACTCAGGAGTAGTTGTATTAATTAGCACCATAAATGATGTTAAAATTGGATTTTAACAATTGTCGATATTATTTTTGTTTTATTATAATTTATTATACTGTTGTAACCTACCCTGAGCCTTGCTATGCAAGGGAGGGTGGGCTAGAAATTTATTAAAATAAATAAATGTGTTTTAGACAGGCCTGTAGCCATGGAGGTGCAAAGGGGGGCAGTGCCCCATCAATAATTTGCCATGCCCCCTCCAATCAGCATTACAGGTTGGTGTGAAATCTGTCACACATCTTTCAGGTGTAAATTTTCTTTCTATCACTGTTCTTCAGCCCTGAGACATGGTGTAGTGGCAGGTAGGAAATACTTGTCACTGCTCAGCAACGGCAAGGTAGGATGGCAAACCACAAGTGAATTCATGGCATCCTCAGTGGGAGCCAGGAAAACAGCTACCCAAGGGCTGAGGCAGGAAAGCGTTTGGGGACAAGGTTGCCAAATGTTTGGCAGTTGTTAGTACCCCTTAAGGCCCAGTAGCCCAAGCCTTCCATTCTGCAGTTCTGTCTCTAAGTCACAGATGGAAAGTTCAGCTATCACTGAGTATCTGTGCTTTCATTATAGATTACTCCAAGCAGAACACATACAGAAACAACTCTGCATTGATGCTGATTTTGTTTTTGGTCAGGGTGAAATGGGACAGAAAGGAGAGCAAGGATTTGCTGGTGTGAGAGGAGTATCAGGTCCACTAGGACCAAAGGTATATTTACTTGTTTCCTGCGTTGCTTTCCCCCCATGTATAGGTTCCATAACACATTTGTGTGTAGTTTACTCTATGTACTAGGAACACTTTTGTAATGTGTCTGGTCCCCATCATCTGCCCAGTCTCTGACCATATAGATGATTAAAACAAACAAGGAAGAAGTAGTGTACATGGTGAGGGGGCTAGCTTAGCCAGCCAATGTATAGGAGTTAGACTAGGGAAATCCAGGATCAAATCTTCACTCATATATGAAGCTGGCAGAGTGACCTTGAACCAGTAACTCTCTCTCTCTCTCTCTCTCTTGGCCTTGCCTACCTCTCTGGGCTGTTCTGAGAATAAAAGGAGGGAAGACAGAGCCATCTGTGCCATCCTGAACTTTTTTTTGGAAAGAGGGATGAAAAGTTGACACATAATAAATAATAATTGCACAAATGTGAGAGTTACACACAACTACTGTGTGTGTGTATATATATATATCATCTATCATTAAACCTGCTATAACTGAAAAGAACAATTTGTGGTCGAATTGCACAGATTATGTTAGTTCAGAAAACCGAAGCAGGTGATTCTTGGTGTCTCTTGCAGCACTAGATTTTGATCACTTTGTGAATGAGAAGCTATATGAATGAAATGTAGTAATCAGCAATTAAACAAAAAGGTTTTATGACCTCCTTGAGAATCCAGAGGGAACCAATGTATATGGAGATCTCACCATGTTTGAATGAGTTCCTAATAATGTAGATGAAAGCAAGTACTTGAGAACTAGTGAAAGTAACTCATTCTTTTCTGTTTCAGGGTGAACCTGGAATCAAAGGTGCAGTTGGTAACCCTGGACCTTCAGTTCGTGGGCCACCTGGCCCCAAGGTGACTTTATTTGCAGTCAGAACCAATGCTCCCTCTAAGCTGTAGAGTCTTGTGTGCAAAAATTCTACTTTGTGAGCTACTGGCATTAAAGCTGTGAGCAAGCAATTTGGCTACTGCATAAAATAGCTTGCTCTGGAGCCATCCTTCCTGAGCTAAGACAAAAATGTGTGAGCTGGAAGGTAAAAAACTGAGCTATCTCACACTAACTCAGCTTAGAGGGAACACTGGTCAGAACCTTCTACAGAACCCCTTTCATTCCAGTTGGGCTTGCATAGAGAGGCAAGGGCTAAAACGAATGATCCAAGTGTGGCCACACCATAGATCTACATTAAGCATTACAACTATTGTTTTATTTTCAGTCTTTTTCCTGCCAGTATTACACAAATTGTCTTTGTCATGGGTATGATATGCTTGAGGGCCTGTTCCACAGCCATTGTTTGAAAAGCAGCCGTTGGCAAAACCAGTGGAATATTTATTTTGAAATGCATATCCTGTACTCCTCAGTCAATATTGGTGCCTGAGGGTGGCTCACAAAGGAACTCGGAAGTTGTTAGTGCCCCGTTAGCCACCTTGTGTCTAAAGAAATAAGGTAGGATATAATTATTTAAAATGAATGAACATAACACCATATGCAATAAAAATATAAATACATTAAAGCCAGTTAACAGCTGTACCTAGCACAAACCAGCTATGTAAAAACTAGTTTAAAACATTAGAACACTAAACAGCAGTTCTTAAGTCTTATAAAACTTTTAAAACAGAAGGCTACTTAAGAATAACTGCCCTATTATCTTGCTACAATGCTACAAACTGCTGTACTCTCATTGTTTCTCTTTGTTGACGCGTGGGTTGAATTTGCGCTGCTATTCTTTTTTATAGAGTTATTGTTATGCCAATAAAGGTTATTGGAATTGGACAAGAATAAATCGGCATTTAAAAAAAAGATATCCTATGGTCAGCACAGAGATACATACAAAGAGCAAAAATAAAATAACTTGGGAAAATGCCTGAAAGTTTAACAAGCTTGGCACCTAGTGGGTGAACAGGGTAGACAGTTCCATAAGAGGGGTGCCACAGCTGAAAAGAGTATCTCTTGTCACAGTTTGCTTCCCCTCCAGTGATGGAGGGAGACTACGCAAAGCCATGCACAAAAATCTCATACATGGTAGCAGCTGTTCCTTCAGGTACATTGGTCCCTGGCTGTTCACCATTGGGCTCGGCAGTAAATAGGCAGCCAGAATTTGTAAAACTGGCATTCTCTGTAATCTCTGTAATTAATGCCAGTCAGCAGTCTGGCAACAGTCTGGTTTCTGAGCTTGCACTAATTGAAGCTTCCAAACTGTTTTAGACGGCAGCCACACAGAGAACTCATACAGTAATCTACATGACTATCTAAAGGACTGTCTCATTCCATATGCCCCCACTTATGATCTTTAGGTTTCTAGCTACCAGCTGTTTCCTTGCTTAGGGTAGCTTACCTGGCAATGACCAGAACCTGTGCCTTCTCTATGGTTGCTCCCACCCTATGGAATAAGTTCCCTGAAGAGAGTGTCAGGATATCCCTGTCAGCGTCCAGGAGAAACGGCCCGAGGATACGGGATACGAAGATACGGAATGCATAGAGCACTTCTGCACCCAGGAGAAGAAGAGCGGGACCAAGGGAACTGGCAGAGCCAGAGGGCAAGACAGACAACCTCGACCACCAGTCAGAGAAGAGCCGTGCGGGGTTATCGGCATCTCCAAGGACCCAACAGAGAGGAAGCAGCCCATAGAAGCCAAGGGGGGTTTGTGTACCTTTAAGCGGGAGGGAGAGGTTGAAAATGAGAATAAAGGTTTAACCTGGGTCTGCCAGGGAGGATGAAATTCAGTGGAGACTGAAAAGGGCACAGCTGTGCATACAACACTGACCCGAGGTCTCCCTGGATAAAAGGCAATGCACTCTCAGTTGAGGAGAGGCACCTTTACGTCTGAGGCAGTTCCAGAAACCCCATTCTCGTCAATCCTCGTTATCGCTTAACGGACGCTGCTACAGTGGAGCGGAATCTTACAGAGAGGAGCAGCACCATCCCGAGAACTTTTATGAGGGACCCTAGGAGCATTTAATTTGCTAGAGCTTTTAATGGGGCATTTTGTGGGGGGTGGGGTGGGTTATTTTGGATTTTATTGTGTTTTGTATGTTTCAAATATAAGCTGCCATGAGTAAAGGTGAGGTATAAACATTTAAATAAATCTAATCTGGATGTGATCAGAGTATAGATGTAGTGGTGGAAAGTGCCGTCAAGTCACAGCTGACTTGTGGTGACCCCGTAGGATCTTCAAGGCAGGAGACATTCAGAGGTGGTTTGCCATTGCCTGCCTCTGTGTCACAACCCTGGTCTTCCTTGGAGGTCTCCCATCCAAATACTAGCCAGGGCTGACCCTGCTTAGTTTCCGAGGAAGCTGACTTCTCACTCCTGAATTCCCTTCTCTACTGTCTGACAGCACTTCAGTGTTATCTGGATTGAACTTCACTTTGCTGGCCCTCCCATTTGTTAGTCCGTTACCACCTCCAGACAATGGTTCACCTGACTCAGATCAAAGTGCTGGGCTTCATTTCCATGATCATGACCCTTTATTCCAAACTTTGAGACAACCGCACTCATGTAAATGTTAAAAAGCCTGGCAGTAAAACGGAACCTGGATGGAGCCCATAGCATGAAATGCCACAGGATCGAACAATTATCCCTCTTTGGCTTCTGGTTGGCCAGGTACGTCTGGAACTGCTGCCCCATCCCAAAAGGGTTCCATGGTTGATGGTACTGAGAGCTGATATGAGATACAGGAGAATCCGGTTTCACCCCTCTGTCACTTTCCCATCAGGGCAACCGAGGCAGTTTCAGATTGCAAATCACACCGAAGGCAGATTGAAATACCTCTAGAAAACCTAGCATCATCTGGGAATATCTGAACCTGGTACTTCAATCAAAAACTGAATGTCCTAATTGCATATGATGTGATTTCTTTCTGTGTATATATGTAGGGGGAACAAGGATTTGCTGGGCCTCCTGGAAATGATGGAAGTCCTGGAAATTCCATTATGGGACCTATGGTATGAAGTTTTTTTTTTTTTTAAATGAACAAATAAATAATGAATTTAATATGACACATAGAAAGTAGAAAGGAATATTTGAATGGTTTGTTTGTTTTGAATGGGCAGATGGCAGCCAGAGAACGTTCAGCTGCTCTTTTCTGTTAAGGGTTCTGATTCCTACATGCATATTAATTGTGTCTTACTATCCTTCTTGCCTTAGGAATATGTTCTCTCCCCATCCCTCATTCACTTTAATGTATAGTTCCAGATGAGGGGAATACTTGGTTCTGAGAACAAAAGTGCTGCTTGTTGTACAGCTCCAAGGGTTCTTTGTCGTGGTAGATTTGTTGTTATTTTGACCTGGTTTTGTTTGGCAGCCTTTGTCGTTATTCATATCAGTAACATGTCAGGGTGCAACTGATATAAAACCTCAGATGAACATAATTCTGCGCAAACCATTTATTAACCCAAGGTTTCTAACAGTTTATAAACTGCTTCATCATGTTTACAGGACAAGGTTTAGATGCCTGTCTCCAAACGCTTAAAAAAAAAGAAGAGAGACTCTTACATTACATTACATTACATTACATTACATTACATTACATTACATTTCCAATTTCTATACCGTCCATGGCCCCCTAATGGGTCTCAGAGCAGTTTACACTGTACTACTTTCGTAGTTTGTTTACCTAGTTAGGGCCACAGATTCACGGGGAGGAGATGCTTGTGGTTAAGCACATGCAAATGTTTTTGCAGTGTTAGGAGCTAAAGTACATTTAACAAGTTGATGCAACAAATGTAACTTCTGTGCATTCATTTTGAAAAGTTGCTACTTACAGTATAACAGTAAAAGGTGACTAGAGTGCTTCCATGTAAACAGGGGCCCGTGTGGGCTTTCCCTTGCAGAGTGAGCTGCGCTCCCCTCTGCCATCGCTTGTGTACTGACGTACATACCTTTCTTCAAATCCAGTGTGGATTTTCATGTTTCCCTTCATGTGTAAACAGATATTTGGATTTATATTTAATCCAGGTATTTGATACATTCATCCAGTTAAGCCTTTATATCAGCACCTTTTTAAAAAGTCAATCTTAAAAAAACACACCTGGAAATCTTGCTTGTGGAGGGGAAGAATGATTTCCACAAAGGCCAGCCAATTAGCATTCTGCATAGGTTGCTAGGGGAAGGAGCTTTGCGATTGTCACTAGAACTGCCCAGTCACAGCTCTGTTGCACAGTTGCTTTCCACTGGCTAGCAGGAAGAATGGATTTGTCCTGAGTTTTATTATCTGAAGAAAGTTATATGTTTGTCCAAGAAGGGGTGAATGCAGATCCATAATGGGTTCGCTCCTTGAGATATGCATGTCTGTACACAGACAAAGTTGATATACCAACAGTACAATCCTAAAAAACACATTCCTAGGGCTAAACCACACGAAGAAGGCATGCTTAAAATTGCACCGTTCGTGTAACAACAGGTGGCTCTTATAGTATCATTATCTCCTCTGCTCAAACTTCTCCATCTAGTTTGTTCTTTTGGATAATGGCCCAAGCCATCAGTGGCTCCAGTCCGTGTCCAGCCTTTTCCAGCTTGGATACTTTGTGGGCCTCAACAGTTTTTTCCTTCCAACAGCTTCTTCCACCAGTATTTTGGCTATCCCCTGCACAAGCCTTAAAAAAGAAAAAAAAAAGATTCCAAAATATGAGAAGATAGAAAAACTTCACATGATGGTGACTATAGATGACCACTTTTTTGCCCAGTTTTAAACACTGTGAAAGAATAGGATCAGCAGAGTGCTCAGGGCACATGTGCACAACGGAATATGCCACTAGCACATCCATGTGTGCAAGATCAATATTTTCCAAGGAGCCCCTTACTCATGGAGAAGTCTTAGTGGCAGAGGAAGCAGCTGCTGCTGCAGAGGAAAGTCTCCACAGCAGATGGAAAGAAGCACAAGGGGAATGATGTCACAGGACCCCAAGCTAATAACTCTGCCTAGAATTGCGTTGACAGTCTAGCAACAGAAAACATTGTGTGAGACTTCTGATGCCTATTTTACACTTAGGATAATGTGACATGAAAGCACGAGAACAGTGTTCCTTCTGATATCAGGAAAAAGATATTTGACAGTTCTTAGAGAACAGTATTGTTAATCTATTTTGGATGTTAAGTGCAAACATCTGTTTGGCAACTCTTTCCAGCACAGGAATTTGAAGTCAAAATACAGACGCAACCTCTTGCCCTTAGATTTCCTCCTTTACTGAAAGAATGAATATTTTCAGTTTTCAATTCAAGCACTGTCAATTATCCAGGGAGCTTCTTTATGGGCAGTCAAGTACTTGAACGCTTCCAGTAGGTCTTCTGCCATTTTTCTTTGAACTGTGGGCTCCCCCTCATTTTACATGTGGCTTCTGAAACGGAAATAAGGAGGGGAGAACCATGCAGCAACAGTGGGCCTCATGGAGTTGCTCAGTGACCCTTGGCCCCAGTGAGTCTACAGGATTGCCAGTTCTCATTCTTAGCCCTGCCAATTACCCCTCAGAGGCCAGATCTTGAGAGCTTTGCGTGACAGCATTATCTCCAATAAGCAGTAACTCCTGCCTGCCTCCCTCTGGACTGTCTTCTCTGCTCCCTGCCTTGCTGTGACTCAGCACTCAGTTGATTTGCATTCTCACACAAACTCTACCCATGTTAACATAGTTGATAACATATCTGATCATTTATATTGTGAACCAGGGCATTCCAGGACTGACTGGGCCACGTGGACTACCGGGTCCAAAAGGAGATGGCTTTCCAGGTCCACAAGTAAGTGTAATGTTGTCTATATTGCCCCGGTTGGCAAAGACAACAACTTGCCATTGATACCATGAAACTTATGGTTCTTTTACAATGCAAACATTGGGAGAAAAAGTTCCCTAAACTAAGGTGGGAATGTCACTGTTTGTACATGTTGAAGTCGTGTGAAACTGATTGACCTTTATTCTTCTTAGGGGATTCCCGGAGCACCCGGTCCTCAGGGACCAAGAGGTCTGAAAGGAGCGGGTGACCCAGGGCAAAAGGTACTCCTGCTGCTGTACTGTGTTGAAACAATTAGGGCTAACTTTCAGTCACTCATTGCAAATGAAATAGCCCATCTTTACTCAGCAATTACCACATATTGCAATGTCTTTTGAAACTATTAGAAGATCACATTGTAAAGTTATAGGATGCATAGAAGGTGATGTTGGTTTGGGACCAGCATGCCTGAAGGACCACCTGTTCCCTTATGAACCTACCTGATCACTGTGGTCATCTTCTGCAGCCTTGCTTCGGGTGCCCCCATCTTCTGAGTTTAGGCAAGTGACAACCTTAGAGAGAGATTCTTGATCATGGCACCAAAACTCAGGAACCCTCTCCCCAGGGAGACTTTTCTGTTCCCTTCTGTTGCTATCTTCTACCATCATGTGAAGACTTTTTTGTTTGGTTTGGTTTTCCCTCAGTGATGCTTCCTTCCTGCCTAATGTTTTAATTATTTTTGTATGGATTTTAACCTTTTTAAAACAGTTTTAATGATGTTTTTGTTGATTTTAATGGTTTTTAAGGTGTGATTTTATTATGTATGTTTTAATTTGTTAGCCACCTTGGTGGCTCTTATGAGGGCAGGCAGGGATCTCTCTTACCCAGCTCCCATTGTCTGCTGGTGCTTTGGCAGCTGGCAGGAGGGGGGGAAATGCTGTTGGTATGATGATGCTATATCACCTCTAGGGAAAACACGGAATGAATCATAGAATCATAGAGTTGGAAGGGACCTCCAGGGTTATCTAGTCCAACCCCCCTGCACAGTGCAGGAAATTCACAAATCCCTCCCCCTCCACACCCACAGTGAAATCCCACCTTCGTCGCCAGTGAAAAGTATGCAGACGGAGAGTGATTTCAGCTAAGCATACCTTTATTTAGTTCAGGACAAAGACAACTGACCAGCTCGCAGGCCGGTTTATATGCGTTCAGAAAACCCGCCACCAAGCACACCTAAACACACCCCCTACTCCCGATAGGCTATTTACAGTAACCGGGCGACCATTGGTTGCCCGGCTGGGCAGCTAGCCCTTTTGATTGGGCCTGCTAGGATCCTCCGGATCCTTTGTCTTTCGACTGAAGCTTACATAGGAATTGTGCCTGGCCAGCCCGGGCAAGTCCGGGCATGTCAGGCTGAATACATTACACACAGTGAGTGCTGTTCCACGCCCAGAAGATGACAAAAAACCTCCAGGATCCCTGGCCAAACCGGCCTGGAGAAAAATTGCTTCCTGACCCCAAACTGTCAATCAGCATTTTCCTGTGCATGTAAGAAAGGGCCACAAGAACTAAGCACTGAGGCAACCCTTCCTGCCCTCCCTCTCATGATCTGCCTAAATTCACAGAATCTGCATTGATGTTAGATGAATGAATGAAGTCACTCTGGTCTAGAAATAGCTGAAAACTGCCCCCCCCCCCGAGTGATTCCTAGAAAGCCCTGATGTCACTTCCTGGTTTATCCCTGAAGTGATGTCATGCCATCACCCAGTGGCATCACCCATGTCACCACTTGCCATCTCCCACTAACTGGCAACCCGACATGTGCCATGTACCACATACATCTTTAACTTGGGAAGGCACAAACCTCTGCTGGAAAATAGAACTGGGCTGCTTGAAGGATCGTTGTTGGTTCTTGTATTACAAAATCTTAATGAAATACAAAGTTTGTTTAGCATTTTACTGTTTACAGGATACAACAAATAGATTACTGGGATAATGTTATGTGAAGCACTTAGAACATGTGAAATATTGTTATGACTTTGACCTTATAGAAATCTGATGCAGATTTCATTTTAATTTGTTTTGTTGTGACTTTGACCTTATAGAGATCTGATGCAGATTTCATTTTAATTTGTTTTTTTGCACTATGGACAGCTTGAAAGAGAAATACCTTCCTGAATCTCTAAATGGAAAATGTTTCTGCTTTTATCTCTATGTGTTTTAAAAATAGCTTTGTTTAACCAAAGACCCTCCAAGTAATAAATTTACATACAACTCAAGTTAGAATTCCGCTGTTGAAGAATGTTCCTTGAAGTTCAATTGGAGCAGTGTTCTATCGGTTTGCAAGATTTCTTGCACATGCGTACAGCAGAGAAGAGGAATTGTGTGCTAACAAAGGCCTCATTCATGCCAAGCTGCCCGTGGGAGGGATTCAGTATAGGCGTAATCTTCTTGTTGTGTGTAGAGTAGACATGAAGGGCAAAGGAGACTGAGTTATAATCACAACCGAGTAAAAAAATGCATACAAATGCCATTCTAAGGCTGGGCTGTAATTAAGC